TTTTTAAAATTTTATTTTGACCGTTAGGATCGTAGCTTTCTAAAAAAATTTGTGGACCGTGATTTGGACTTTGTTTGAATCCGTTACACTTAATTTTATAAACATTGTGCAAATCTAAAGTTTTCTGATTTTCTTCAATAAGTGCATGGCTGTTTTTGAATTTTTAAAAATGCTAGCTCTTGGTCATTTTGGCTCAAAGATTCTGATAGACTCCTCTCTGAACAAGGAACACACCAAACCAAGAAACTGCAAATTCTGACACCGGAAAGTCCAAGAAAAAGAACCTGCGGACCACCTTACTCACAAAGGTAAAAGGGAGGAGGTATTTCAAGTAAACAATAAGAAAGGAAATGAATCAAAGAGGGTTGTCCCTTGACTCTGTGGTCTAGAACACATGTTTTAGGAGACATGTGGTGTTTAAATTATATGTTGGTATTTTTGAGCCTTTGCTTGAGAACTTCTATGTTTGAAATGAAATTGTGAATGTTTGTTTAAATGTGATGACTCTTAATTTTGATTGAGGATTTATTTTCACTTAACGTTTGAGTAAATATTGTATTATAAAAACTTGTGAATTATTTAAAGTGAACTATTTACTCAAAAGTTTGTTGAAAACCAAAAGTTGATTTAATGAAATGTTTTCTTGAAATGCCCAATATGAGTATATATGCCCGATGTATTTGAACAAGTTATCTTATGTGTTGTACTCTTTGAAAATATATGGTTTGACGCATGTGTTGATTGTGTAAAGCACTAAAAGTATGCATATAGGTATATAAAGGCTGAGTGGGCACCATTTGTGAACTTGACCCTTTTGAGGATGGGAAATGTGTGATGATACGCTAAGAGAAAATTGGTATGTAAGTATATGTGCTCTAAGGAGTTTGGCCATGGTTTTAGCTTCGACCTTGAATTCAATAATTGAATCTAATGACTAAAAGTAAACCTTTGTGAAAACTTTATTTTCTTTCTTTTTGAAAATAAATGAGTAGTGTAACTTTAGTCGGGTAATGGTTGAAACTCAAGGAAAGAGATGAAGCTAATGAGCTTGGAACACTTAGAGAAAGTGCATTGAGGCACGGGGTATAAGTACTTGCCGATACTTTACATATATATGATTCTGAATAGCTGATGAAATGATGTGAAATCTTAAACTTGGCCAGCGCCTATGGAGTGAAACTCCAAAAATGTGCATGACTATTCAACAGGCAAATGTGTGTGAAATCTTACTCTTCTGTGAAAGAATTCACGAGGTTATTTTATAACTGTTGTTGGTGAAAGATAGGGAGGACCTCAACGTCTAGGGAATTTAATGGAGTTTGATGACTTACCAATAGCCCTATGAGTGTCCTAGGCCCCAGAACTTTGGCTGGGAGTCTCCACGCGATGCTCCTTTACTTGAAAATATATCTCACTCATTCTTTTCTGTGTTGAAATATTGTGGTGTTGAACATTTTTTTTAGTTATCACAGATCTTGAGGATGACCTTTCTCTGTCTTATTCTCTATGTTGAGCTTAATTTGAAGAGGATTCTTCGGATACAGAGGCGATAGAGAAAGACCCTTCCAAGGAATCATGACTGCTAAACAGTCATTTCTTTTGTAGTTCGTTGCTAGAGGACTCCACTTGTTATATGGTGGAGAATTCGATACTTTATATTTTATTTTGATAGCTTGGGTGTAATGTACTTTTTTTTAGTACTCTAATGGTCGTGGATTGTGTTTTAAGATTCTTGAATAATTTGCGGTTACTTTGGATAATTATGGAATTATTTATATGACTAGATTTATGTTATCAGTTATCTTCTGATTTTTATATGAATGGAATTACATAGGCAGGAAATTGGTTCTTCAATGCATGCAGGTAATGAATGTGAGCTTTGTGGGTTCGTCCCCTAAGAGAGTTCTAATTAAAGTGATAAACCACATGTTGTATCTCATATTATTAGTAATTGGCTCATGAGCAAGTGAAAAAGATTGGAGTCCACTTATATAGTTATGTCAATACATAGTATAGCTATATTATTCAAGTGGTACTTACTAATATTACGATTTTCTAAAGGTTCTAACTATGAGTAAATGAAGAAAGCAAAATCTCATGAGTAATTATTAATAATAAGAGTATGACATAAATCTTTATAAACTGTTGCTTATCAAGTGCATGAAGAATCAAGATCCATACGGTGACGAGTGTCACTTTAAAATATATTAAAAGCAAGTCTCTCAATACTTAAGAATGATAGTGGTATCCATAAACCAAGTTGAATAATCCTATGCACTCATGTTTAAAAATAAAAAATAGAAAAATTTCATTTGATCCAAGACTCTTAATAGCAATCTGTATATATTACACGTCAAGTTATCTAAAAGTAGTAGGATTGTCTGATCTCGATCTTGGTCATCACCGTTACACTAATCATAGACTTGTCAATCGTCCTTTCAATTATGCAGCAAACACAATTATTTCATATCCAAAACATTGTGTAATTTATGCAAAACAATTTCAATCATTCTTTTTTTTTTTTTTTTTTGCTTTCATTCACTAATTTCTTTTCATTCCTTTCATTAATTTTCTTTTTCTAACAGCACCTTGGTGAATATTTTTCTTTTGAACTCACAACTTTGCTATTCATTTATTTCCTTTTGAAGCCATAACTCAGATAGCTTTGCTATTCTCTGCCCCAAACTTAGAACTTTCCTTGTCCTCAAGCAATTGAAATATGGATGTCACCCTAAACTTAATTGTAAACTCATCCTTGATTAGACTCAATTTCCCTCTATTCCTTTGGATGGTTGTAATGGTTTTTCATCATGGCTTGTAGTGAGGGAAAATCAAGAAAGAGATATTAAGCTCAAAGGGGTGAACTAGGACATTCAAGCACAAATGGAGGTTCATTTAGGCCAACTAGGCACAATCAAGAAGGCCTCTATCATATATGTGAGAACTAAAAAATTGCATATTCAATCAAGAAAAAAAGTAAGTTTTAGAGGGTGCAACAAAATTATGATCAATCACACATGAAAGAATGTAGTCTGCAAACTCAAATTCTTACCATTGGAATAAAGGTGATAATATCATTTAATCATGTTCATAATTCTTCTTACAAATCCATATGCACAAAATGGTAAGAACCTCCTTATTTCTAAAATAAAGTGTGACCATCATATGAAGAATTTCACAAACAATTCATTTACTCAGAAATCAAAAACACCAAAGGTGGAAAAGGAACCCAATTTATTCATCACAAAATGGAAAAAAGAACCTAATACACAAATAATTATGGACATATACATATTTTTATGGTTTCTTAATCTAATTAAGCAAGAAATATGATACAATTTAACAAATGAATCAAGAGATAAAGAAAGAAATAACTCCTCTTTTCATGAAAAGTGTTCACAGTGAATGTTCCAGCAAAACTCTTTCTTCAAAATTGCTAAGTATAGCCTTTGTGTAACCACTTTTGATGCTAAGAATGAAAGTTTCAACAAACTACAGCAAGTTACATCAGGAAACTCTCTTGTATGTTGATACTTCTACTCCCAAAAGTAATTACCTACAACTAGAAACTTAAATTATGCCAAAAAAATATAATTAAAAACTAGAAATTAAAAAGAAACGAAAGGAAAAGAAATGTAAGTTATCTCTCACAAAATACTCTTTTAACATCACTAGCTTGACACCTAATGATCTTTGACTCTAGAAGATAATTTTGATGATAACATTTTTTGCTCTATCTTAGACATTTATCTTTTTTCTCACTAATTTGTAGCTTTTCATTTAATTGAAAACTGAAAAGAAATAAATGTGGAGAGACTTTCAGTTGCTTCATAGTAAGTAAGGATGTTTCCTAAGTCAAATACAAGGAACCGATTACTGGCCATAAAATCAAGTATATTAAATTGATTTTTTATTCATAAAAATAATATATTTTTTTATTTTACTTTGCAACACATATTTCATAAGCTGTTACGTTAAATTAATATTTATTTTCTTTTAATTCATTATCTCATCAAATTTGATATTCATTTTTTATTATTATAATTAATACTTAAATTTATTCAATTAATAACGAAATACTTACATATCATCGTTAAAACTAATATTTAAAGTTAACATTTTTACTGTTTGTACTATTTTAAGCCAGTATCTTACAGGACATAAATGCACTGTTTTTCTGAATAATTACAGCACTCTACAGACTTAATGTACAGGACATTTAAAAACATGAAACTTTATTGTAAAAAATATATGAAAGTTGGAGTTGCTATTGGGTACAATCAGTGGGGTATATTTAGGGAGTAAAAACTATTAACTATAAGGTCTCATGTGGTTACTCTTGTCACCACCCACAGGTCAGAAGACAAGGAAAAACAAAATTCAAAACACAACCAAAACGAAAACGAAATGCAGGGCTTATTAATAGTAAGCGTTATCTTTCTGTCTAGTAATTTCATAGTAATTGTGAATAATTCTCCTGTGTTTTAGGATTAATGGGAAATGAAATTTAAACAGTTTCGAAAAATTGGAAAGTTAATCATAACTTGTTTAAGACATAGCAAATTGTTGCATAGGCCCCGCGTCATTATCTATCAACTCTTGGTAAATTAAATTGGTACTAAAAATAACAATAATTAGCTACACGATTAATGATAAATTAGGATAGAATTGATCATTAAAATAAGAAAGTCATTAGCTTCACCTCATAGCAAATTATTGCACAGACAGAAAATTTTATATGATAAAAATGACATTAAGTTATTCTAAGATTATTATCTAAGTCTTTATGGATTTATTTTTTGACATCATTCAAAAGAATTCGTATTAATAAAGATCTACCATATTTATATACCTTTGATCCTCTTAATTCTAATAAATGAGAGACTTTGTTTATACATTTTAACGATCTATCTATCCCAACAAAATTATTATTATGTATGGGTCATACAGCGACCATATTAATTTATTATACATTAAGCACACACAGTACTCCAATATTTTCAATTTTTAGGATGTATGGCGAACCAGGTTTGGATAAAAGTGAGAAGCAAAGCAAGTGATGCAGCTAAAAAGGCAATCATGGCCCATGGAGTATGGAAATGAGTATTGTAAACTTGAGCCAACCATGTCCTCCATTTATTTCTGTAATGCTTTTCAATTTGATCCTTCACGAAAATATATTTCTTGCTGTAGGCCACTGCACAAGTGTAGAATTGGTCGCAGTACATTTTAGTTGGCAAATCATCACCCAATTCGTTAAAGAGCTTGGCCAAATCTTCGTCGGTTCCCAGCAAGTTTTGAAACACACCAGCTAATCTAAGCTCCTTCACATCCTCAGCAGTGTCAATCAATGAATCCATGAAAGAAAAGAATGAACAACATTCATAGTTATAACGAACATCTGGACACATCTCATATGCTATGAAGTTCCAAAATATATAAGGCGTGACATCGTTGAACACAAACACTGGGAGCCTCAATTCGCCACTAAACCACTTAGGAGTGAAAGACACGTTATTCCATCTCCATGCATCATAGTCTGACTCATCTGCCATTGGCATCACTCGAATCCCTGCTGTTTTAAGATCTCGTATGTTCTTATAAGTATGCCAACCTGAAATGGGATCGATTTGAATATTGCATTCATCAGCATCATGTTGTTGTTGGTTTAGGATTATATTTATATCCTCCATCTCACTGTATTTGTCGGTGGGAAACCCCTTCATGGTTGACAGGTACAATGAACGACTATAATCGAGTAAATGAATTGGTTTAGAATTTTGAATTGAGATCATTGTCATTCCACATAGTTTGGTTTTACCAGAGTCCCAGTAATTGCTCATGAAATATTCCACGTTCTTATGGCTTAGCATCTCAAGTAATCTCCTTGGAAGTTGGTTCTCCAACAACAACATATCTCTCCACATATACATTAGTTGGTCAAACTTCAGGTTTAGTGATTCAGGACGGTGTTCGTCAAAATTTTCCATGAAATGGAGCAAAGAACATCCATCAACAAACAAAATCCAAACCAGGTCATTGTCCTTGTAACCTTCGATTGCATCCTCAGTAAACAACGTCTTCAATTCTTCCATATTATCTTCTAACCTTTTGAGCAAAAGTTTAGCTGCTACGTCTTTATCTTGATTGATTTTTTCACTATTTTCGGCAACAAATTTCGATGTCCATAGAAGCTTGTAACGCTCTCCTTGCTTGAGACTTTGACTGCCGTGATGAATGGGACCGAATGAGATAATCTTTGGGGAGAAATATTTAGCACACTTGTCATTTTGTCGCAGAAACGTAGGTGCCCTTTGGATCTTGGGACCCAGAATTTTATTATCTTTATCAAAGCTTTGTTCTGCATCATTTAGTTGGGCAAGTCTTTTATCCACGATGGCTTCTAATGTCTCCGTCATTATCCAATGACTGAGGAGTTCGCCGTTCTCTTAATTTTTCATTGAAGATCCATTATACAAACGCAATTATACAAAAGGTATAAATTATAGGCAAGACCTTTGCGACTATAATTAAGTTTATTTATTCACAAGAATTAATTAAAAAATAAGAGTTTTAAAGAAATATTTATTATATTTTTATAATTTTAATACAATAACTATATATTTTTTTATAAGAATTTTTTATTTATGAATACTTAATCTCAGCCCAAAATTAACAAAGGCTAAAAAAAAAAAAAAAAAAACCCAGCAGTTTTGGCTTCCGTGTGACCGTGCACTGGTTAATCCTAATCTCTAACTTCCCTTTCTTCCATACCAACTTCTGAAAAGATTGACACACACAGAAAAAGAGAGTTAAAGATCGATCAATACACTCCTTCACGGCAAAGTCATTTAGTGGGAAAAAACTCATCTCCAAATGAAATGAGCTCCCTTCAAATGTGCCAGATCAAAGATGGTGGAATTTGGAACTAATTGAGAGTATATATATATTCAAAGGAGTATACCTGGATTCGACCATTATGACTTGCATCTGCTGCTTGTGTGTGAAAGAATGATTGATGTGAAGTCTTCAGTCCTCACTCTCCCAAGTAAATGTTGGTATAATATGCTGAAGAATTTGGCACAGTATTTGTAACAAGGAGGAGCCAAGTTTGGTGATTGGCATGAATGATTGGAGCGGATGGATCCCTTCATTTCAAAATAAATGGATGACTTTGGTAGTGTCCAGCTATGAAATGGGGTATGACCGTGTGGGTCATGTTCACATGAAAGCGCACTCAGCAACCTAATAAAGGTAACAAACGCAAGGACAAGACAGCTTTTTGACGAAGAAAACAAAGACGTGAAAAATCCTACTATTGGGAAAGATTTCTTGCCCCGGAAATTTTCAGTGTATAAGATCTCATTCATTAATTTTTTTTATATTAAAGTAATCCATTTTTTAACTTTTTATTTTATTTTTTTATTTCATAAGTATTTTTATTTTAGATAATTCTGTTTGATAGAATTAATATAAAACACAAAAAAAAAATTAAATATTTAACGCTGAAACTTGAACTCAAGGTTACAAATTAAATACAAATAAGTTTTACCAGTTAATTCATGTAAAAATTATAGGTTAAGTTAGAATGATAATTAATTTATGTATTTGGAGATGACCTTTTAATTTTATTTTATTTTTCTTATTTTTTAAATTATTTTAAATAAATTTTTCATAAAAATATTAATTTTATTAAACATTTACTATTTATCTTCTTATTCTTATAAATCTATAAAAAATATTACATATATATAATAAATATTCTAGTTAAATTTCAGGATCATAATAAGAAAATTAAGATATTCATAGTGACATTTATACTTTGTCTCCAAAATATATATATATATATATATATATATATATATATATATATATATTACCTCCTTAGTAATTATCCTAATTGTTTTACCAAGCTCATGTTCTATAGTTTTGTTATTGCCTTCTCTTGTGATCTCGAAGTTGCTATCAATAAGCTTCTCTTGCTTAGGATGCTGCACTCTTTAAAGAAATTGAAGTTTCTTGTATTTATCTTCATCTATTGGCTTAGATATATCTTCAAATAGCTTATTTTTATTCTTTTTTCAGATTGTGTCTTTCTGTTGTCTTTTAGTTGCTTTCTATTACCTTCTCTTCTTAAAAGAGTTAAATGTTCTTCTTTACAATTCTCTTGTTGCTTATCTTGGTCACTATTCTCTTTAAATTTATATAATGCTTTCTTTTGCTCAATAGCTTTAGGACTTGAAATTTTCATCCCACTCCTTGTGAAGACAACTTAGCTTTGATCTATTAGGTTTACAATGGTGTTGCTAGACAATTTCTCATTATTCCTATTTAACAATTATTCTGAAAGTTGTCTTATTTGCATCTCCATCTTCTTCACGGATGCCTCTTGATCTTTTAAACTTGATTGAGTAACTTCAATGAATTGGAGCAAAGTTTCTTTAAATTCATTCATTCTTTTTGAAAAAGTCTTTAAAGGTTGTTGTCCTCTTTGAGGTTAAAAATATGATGCTTGAAAATAAGGCTATAAAAACTAAGTACCGGAGAATAGTGTTGCATTAATATATTTACAACAGGCATTTGTTGATTCCAATTATAATATAGCTGACTCATGTTAGCTTGATACAGGAGGAAAGTAGGGTGAGGTCTTTGAAAATATCCTCTCTAATTGATTTGTTCTTGAAATTCTAGTGTAGCCACATCATATGTTCCATTCACATAGTTTTCATTGTAAAAATCACACATTAAGGAGTTTGTTTTGGCAACTCTAACTTGAAAACTATTAATTAAAGCTTCAAAAGCATCTACTTTATAAGCTTCTATTCTTACAACTTGGCTCTGATGGAAATTCTGATACATGTTGGTTGCCATAAAAAAATAGAGTAACTTTATTGTTGGTTTTTTCTTGTATACAAAAAGAAAGTAAACAAAATTCAAATAAAATTCATAGTTAAGCAAAACAAAAATATGAAATTATTTAGAAAATTACAAAACAGAACATGCAGAAAATATAGGAAATTATGCATAATGAAATTTACAATTATGCAAAAAACTTCAAAACACAATTATGCAAAAAAATGCAGAAGAATATAGAAACTTTATGCAAAACACTTATAACACAAACAACAGAAAATAAATGCTAAATCTAACTATCTTTTTGTTATTAATGATATTGAAAGTAAACAATCTCTAGCAACAGTGTCAAAAACTTGTCCAACCTTAGAGAGCATTAACTAGCAAGTGTACTAGTGTAGTTGTACTAAGTTATAAAATTTAGAATTCGTTTTAGTCCCAAGTATTGTCTTCAGGAAATTATGCATAATGAAATTTACAATTATGCAGAAAACTTCAAAACAGAATTGTGCAAAAAAAATGCAAAAGAATATAGAAAATTTATGCAGAATAATTATAACACAAACAACAAAAAATAAATGCTAAATCTAGCTATCTTTTTGTTATTAATGATATTGAAAGAAAACAATATCTAGTAACAATGCCAAAAACTTGTCACAAGCTTAAAGAGCACTAATTAGCAAGTGTACTAGTGTAGTTATACCAAGTTATAAAATTTAGAATTCGTTTGAGTCCCAAATATCGTCTTTAGGGATTAGTTCTTTCAATTACCGTTTGCTCAACCGAGAGCACACGAGAAATTAGGGGTATTTAAGGGATTCTATCCCAGAAACTTGCATTACAATCCAAGAAACATTTTTTAGCTCTTTTTTTTTAAACTCTCTCTTCCTTTCTCGCAAAGAAAAACCTCTAAACTTTGAAGTTACTTTAAATCTAAGCTTGAATCTCGACTCTACGAAATCATTGGTGAGTATCTCAAAGCTTGACTCTTCATTCTTACCTCTATTTTCTCTGTTTTCTCTCTTCTCAAAGAGTACTCTTCTCTATAATATGTAGGAAGATCTTAGCTTGTTGGACCACTTTTTTCACTACCTTCACCACTAAACTTATCCAGTGAGGTAATGAGAGCTCTATTTTATTATTGATAACATGTTATGTAGTGTTATGTGGATGTGATTGTGTGTTTCTTGGTTATGAATAGATGTTTGAATGAACTCGCTGATAATATGAGTTTTCTTATTTTTAATGACTTGAAATGGTACGTGTATTGAAAATATATGTATGTATATTGTGGATTGAGTCTGAAGACACCAATCTCTGGCAATGAGTGATTGATATATGTATGATAATGAACTTGAATAAAATAAAAAGATAAATAACATGTAATATAAAAGTGATAAGTTCAGGCTATAATGATTAATGAAAAGAGTAGAGTCATAACAAGAAATATAAAAAGGGAAATGGAATGAGAAAGGAAATGGGATGAAAGAGGAAAAGGATAAGGACAAGTGTGGTGATGAATCCATAATTTATAGATATTTTGTCTAGCTTTTTATAGAATTTTAATATGAAAAATAGACTTAGAGATTGTAAATAACATAAAAACCTCATTTAGGTCAAATATTATAGCTTTCTTAATTTTTGTCTTATTTCCACTGATTTTTGTGAATATATTTTGCAATTTTGATCATTTAAATAATTGTGCAGGAAATTCTAGACAAATTTCATGAATTTTTGACTCTTGAGAAAAATATGAACTGAGAGTAATCACTCTCAGGTTCCATAATGATCACTTCAGGGAGCTAATTCCAAAGGATAGGCCAGAGTAACCACTTTCAGAAGCAGCAGTGATTACTCCAGAAAGCTCCAGAATCACAGTGCCTGCGCGTAAACACTCTCAAGTGAGATTGATCACTCCAGAAAGGAAAAAATCTAAAGTTACTGCGCGTAATCACTCTTGTTTACAGAGTGATCACTATGAGGTCATGTCAGACTTAGTATATATAGATTTTTAGAACTTAGGGTACGAATCTTTTCATAATTTTATATTCTTTGCCACTTTGGGAGCATTTTTGTAGAGCTTAGGATCCTTGGGTGACAGCCAAGGTCAATCTTAGGGTTTGATTTACAATTTCTCTTCACTTTCCTTTAATTCTTGCATTGATATCATTGAATTCCTTTTGCTTTCATCTTAAATTTGTAAGACCCATCCTCATAGAGGGCTAAACTTTCTTGTAATCCTTAGTGAGTTCATGGATTCTTGAATTCCTGAGTATGAATGTCAATATAATTCCCTTTCCCTTATGAATTTATATCTCCCAACTCTTTGAATTGAATTAATGTTTGAATGAGGGGGACATTGCTTAATTAACCCTAATTCATTTTAATGAAATTTTTAACTTGGTTTGCTTAATCCTAAGTTAGTTTCTAAGGTTGCGTAATCTTAGGAAAAAGGGTTGGAGCCCATGTAAATTGCTTAATTTGTATGGGACTTTAAGGTTAATTCTTGCATTTTGAGTTACCCTAATTCAGAGGAAGAGGAAAAGTATTGAATCTTGAGAGGGAT